CGGGCCGGGGAGCCCGCACGGCCGGCGCGGAGGTGAGTCCCGCGGGAGGCCGGGCGCGGGGCGCGGAGCCGCTCCCCGCCGCGGGACCCCGCGCCCCGACCCCGGACTGGGACCCCGGGTCCCCGCCCTCCTCGCCTCCCGCCCGGGAGCCCGCTCCCCGCCTGCGCACCGCACCCGGATCGTGCCTCCGGGGTCCCACTCCTCTCCCGAGCCCGCGAGGTGCGCCCCTCCTGCCCCGGCCCCTGCCCCGCCGCCCCGGCGCTCCCTCCCCACGCCTCGGACGCCGCCTTCTGCCCCGGCCGCACTTTGGGGTGCGCCCCGGGGTGCGCGTTCCGGCCGGCCGGCGGGGAGTGGCCGACCTTCCCGGGGCACCCGGGCGGCTGTACGCCCAGCGGGGCGGGGGGCCGGGCCGCCCTGCGCTCCCTGGGAGTCAGGCGCGCACCGCGGTTCCCACCCTGCCGCGGGGCTCGACCCTGGAGCTGCCGGCCCCGGGCCAGAAACCGGCACAGAGCCGGCCTGTGTTCGCACCTCGCTTGCAAAACTAAGCCGGCCCCGGAGGCCTGGGGGGGGGGGGGGGGCGAGTCCGGTTGCGCCCGGGAGAGCGCAACAGGCAGGTAGGAGTTTACTTTCAAAAACGCCGGGGTGGAGCAGAAGGCGTCCGGCAAGTCCCCGCCCGAGGTGTCCCCGTTGGAGGAAATCTCACCGCACCGGGGCAGCCTTCGCCACGGGCAGGACCTCCCTTCCTCCTGCAGCCTTTGAACTGCTCCAAGCAACGCGCCCAGAGAAGTGTGAAGCTTTATAAAAATTTAAACGCGTCGCCGGCGGAGGCAGGCGGGGGGCGGAGCCGTGGCCTGGCGGCCGGGAGCGGAGCCGTGGCCTGGCGGCCGGGAGGTGAGCGGCTGAGCCTCGGAGCTGAGAAATCTCTTGCTCAGTTTTCGCGTCTTCAAACCAGGTCATCAAGGCCCAGCCGAGGAGGTGTCGTGAGCCCGTTTAGCTCCTCGTTAAGAGATGTCAGAGCGCTTAATATTCTGATGATTGTGTGGCTGGCGCGTGCGTTCTGTTGAGCCCTTTGGACGAGGCTGTGGTTGGAAGTGCATGTATTTTTAGACCTTTATGCCAAAAGCCAGCAAGCTGTAAAGAATCTGGCCGTTTTCACCGATATGTTTATGAATTTTACAGAGTTGCTGGAAAATATTATAGCTTGTGTCACCCATCAACAATGCTAATTAGCATTCTTCCTCCTCCGGGTGGGTTGATTACACAGCTCCTAGGCTTTTTAAAGTGACATGGCAGAAACTGCCTAAAACCAGGGAAAAGTAATTAGTCATTTTAAGTAACTACTAATTAGAGTTTTTAGAGCTGAATTAAATCAGTGTGATCTAGCTGGGGCTTTGATTTGTGGGAGGAAACTGTTTTATTCTGCATTTCAGAGAAAAGGACACTCTTCACCTATCCATGAGCCTTTAGAATTCCCAAACATTGGTGTCTGTCAAGGTAATTAGTGAAATTATTTGGTTGCAACTTAATTTGTAAGTAAAATGGCAGCATTTTGAGACGGCATATTTGCAAGGACTGCTTGCCAGGCAGTACATTTTTATCGTCTTATGTGTTTGAGCACCAGGACAGAACCATAAAGGAAAGTTTCCTTACCAAGCACCAGTTCCGTGTCACCTTAGTCTATTGAAGAACAGGCGTTGAGTGAGGAAGTTATTCTCCCCTCCATCCCCCGATACACACAAACACCCTGTTTGTCACCCCAGACCTCAGCGGCATTTTTGGGTTACATGGGTGCTTATCCCATTGTATTTTAATAAGCAGTTTCTACCTTTGGACCTGCAGCTATTTCAGATTCTTTTCTTCCGGACTCTCTGCAACGCTTGGGACACCGGGCCTGTGAGCAGGAGTTGAAATTGCAAAATTCTTTGTGGGTTATGTGTGGTTTGGGACAATTTATGATGGTTGCCTGCCCTCCAAGGTGTAAATAAACAGTTCTGGTAATTGCTGTATTGCTATTCGTTTTCCATAGCTAAGCGCACAGGTTCTGGAATTCGATTCTCAGAGTTCAAGCCCTGGCTCCTTCACTTACTGTGACCTTGCTTTCCTTAACGGTAGCATGACATTAATATCTGATGTCCTTTACATTGTTGTTCTCAGGATTAAGTGGGATATTGCATGCAAATGATTTAAATGGTCCGCAACACATAGTAAGCACACAAGTAACTGTAGTCTGTTAAATTGTTATTGTCATGCTCTCTCTCTGTAAGGTAACTGGCTGTGGTTAGGGGACTAGCTGTGTGTGGGCATGTGATGTGGGCATCGTGCTATGCCATTTTCCAGAAGGTGGACAAGACAGGTTTAAGTGGACCATGTTTCTGCCAGCGGCTTTGGTCTCGCCTGCAGCCTGATGAAAAGGTGCATGCTGCTGTCCCCATTAGTGCCTTTCTGAATGCCATTTATTGGACAGCAATCATTGGACTAGGCACCATGGGATTTACAGAGGAGGTAGTACTCATAACAATCTGTTTTGTTTTTTTTTTTTAATTTAATGTTTATTTTTTTAGAGATAGAGAGAATGGGGCCCCAACATGAATGGGGCAGGGACAGAGAGAGAGGGAGACACAGAATCCGAAGCAGGCTCCAGGCTCTGAACTGTCAGCACAGAGCCTGATGCAGGGCTCAAACTCACGAACTGAGAGATCATGACCTGAGCCGAAGTCGGACGCTTTACCGACTGAGCCACCCAGGTGCCCCTAAAATATTTTTTGAAGCTTAAAAATCTAGCAGGGGATAAGAGGGTCACTTGAGAACAGATACCCATCATAGAACCCCAGACATGTTAACCATTCACAGCTCTTCAGAAATCCACACCCTGCTGCTGGGGGGGGAGGGGGGGGTGTTCCAGGGGTAATTAGCGACTGGAGCCAAGAGCAGTTATTTGAGGAAGGTGAGTTGAAATCTTTGGCAAAACAGGTAAAAAAAAAAAAAAAAAAATGAGGTTAACATTTTCTTTGTGTATAGTGGCCCAGAATCATTCATTTATCAGAGGTCTGTTGTAATGAAAATATCAATTGAGTTTGTCACAAATGCCACAGGCCTTCTGACCCCCCCATCAGCGACCTGGAGGGTGTTTTATGGTTTAGAGAGCACAAGTTCACAAGTTCAGCGAAATGTTTTGCAGGGCTTTGCCATACCCTTCCCACCCTCCCATACTTACAACCCGAAGGCCCTCCAGATAAACCCAGTGGAACACACAGTTTTTTCTCTGATCCCTTTGATAGTCACTTCCAACCTGGGACTAGTAAAAGGAGGCCCAAGGAACAGAATGTATGTCACTAAATTACTTAGCTACAGTTAATGGTATTAGTTCGAGGTAGAGCAGCACTGACCAAAAAATGTACATATAGTGTAATGCAATTGGTATGGAAGTCTTGTGCCATACTAAAGGTATTCTTCCTAAGGAAGAAGTATTCCTTCCTTGGGGCGGGCTCTGTGCTGACAACTCGGAGCCTGGAGCCTGCTTCGGATTCTGTGCCTCCCTCTCTCTCTGCCCCTCGCCCACTCACACTCTGTGAGCTTGAAAAAAATAAACTTAAAACAAAGATCTTAAAAAAAAAGTTAATGGAGTAAACCCTTTAGCATGCTATGTATGATAAAAAGTAATATGCACAGTATGGATAAACACGATTGCACCAGAAACTTCTTTCCCTTGGATTTACTGCAGAAGGAGCAGTGGCTCTTTAAATACAGTGTATGTCTCCATACCCCTCACAAGATAACTTTCTACCCTCCAAACCAGAGTTCCCGTAATTACTTCATAGCTGTAGGCAGAGCCGTTGATGTTTTTATAATTTCCTTTTCGTCAAGGTTAACTTATGTTTACCACTGTCATTACCGTAACATATTATTTCCCCCGTATGATTTTCTGAACACTGTGTTTTTCTTTTAAGTAGTAGTCAGGTATATTTTATGTGGGTGAACTTGACTTTAGGGAAAGATCCTCTCTGAGGCCAGTGACCTTCAATTTGTTTTTAATAAAGCATGGCGAAGGGGGTTCTCTCTGACATTTGTGCCTGGGAATCCCAGAATTTAAGATGCTGCCATGCAGTCAAAAGTGCCCTGTGCACCTGTCCCAGCGTTGCCCTCCTGGCCTTCATGAGATGTCACTTGACCAGCCCTCACCCTTTCCTGGTGTTTGCCTCCGTCTCCCACCCAAGCAGTGCCTATAGCTGGTACTACAGGGGTGAAAGGCAGGAGGGCAGTGGTGGGGGAGGGGGGGAGGGGGTAGTCAGGGTGTTTGTGGGAAGCAGCTGAACGAGACTGCTGCTGATTTTTACTTAGTGTGTCTGCAGTGAGATTGTTGTGTGAGCAAAAAGTTGGTGGTTCTGACATCACCACTAACCTAATCGCTGCGTTACTTTCCTCTTCTGTAAAACTGAGAATGTAAACTAGACAATGGCTAGGGTTTCTTCCACAGTGGATCTGTGGCCTCCACGGCCTGAGGTCTGCCACAGAAACCCTTACTCAGCACACATTTATTGATTGCCTGGTATATTTCAGGAGCTGAACAGACAGTAATGAATGTGGTCCCTGCCCTGGTGGTGCTTACAGTCTCCACTGGAGCCAGACATTAAGTAATCGTGCAATGTATGATTAAAAATTGTGACATAAAGGAAAAGTATAGGATTCTGTGAAGGGGCCTCATGTAGACTGGAGGGTCCAGAAGGGCCTCTTGAAAGAACCAGTATTTATTTATTTTTGAATTTTTTTTTCATGTTTGTTTTTTGAGAGAGAGAGCGTGAGCAGGGGAGGAGCAGAGAAAGAGGGGGGCAGAGGATCCAAAGCGGGCTCTGTGCTGACAGCAGAGAGCCGGATGGGGGGCTCGAACTCACAGTCTGTGAGATCATGACCTGAGCCAAAGTTGGAGAGCCTGGTGCCTTGAAGGGCCTGGAGCTGGAGAAGGAAGAGTGCAGCCTGGGAGGTGGGCAGGGCCCACACACCAAATGAAGGATTTTGGTTTATGCCAACTGTCATGGGACACCATCCATGTGCTGGTTTCAAGCAGAGAAATGACCTCCACGTTGTGATATGAAAGATCACTCTGGGTGCTGTGCACCTGCCAGTGTGGGTCCTCTCTGGGGCCAGGATGATAGAGGGACAGTTCCAGATTCCAGGATCCATATTTATATATATATATATTTTTTATTTTGAGAGAGAGAGCGTGCGCATAGGCGCGTGCACAGATGTGCAAGTGAAGGGGGGGGCAGAGAGAGAGGGGGAGACAGAGGATCCGAAGCAGGCTCTGCACTGTCAGCATGGAGCCTGATGCAGGGCTCGATCCCATGAACTGTGAGATCATGACCTGTGCTGAAACCAAGAGTCTGATGCTTAACTGACTGAGCCACCCAGACACCCCTATGTTTACACGTTTATATGACTGTCCTATTCAGGCCAGTGTAGCAGCCTATCAGTTTATTACCCCAGGAACCTGATTCCTTTTCATTACTTTATTATTTTCCTGATAAGGCATCCCTCTGACCTTATTTGAATCCTGCTACTTTCTTGTGCATAGAGGCGAACTGTCTCCGAAAGATAGCATTGCAGTGATAAGCTTCGCCATGGGTGTTCCTGTGGGCTATATCGAAGTTCTTTCGTTGGCCCTTAAAATGAGTCCACCCGGGATTTTGTCCGTTTGCCTGCTGCTGCTTGTGCTTAATCCTTACTCAGATCTTGGACAAGAGTAGATCGCTGAAATAGAGACAGCATGATTTAGGAGAAAGGGCCCGAGCTCTGTGTAGACTGGATTCTGTGGGGAGACCTGCAGGCTTCGTAATACACGAGCCCTCTGTCCACAGAGCCTGGGGGAAGTGGGTGGCTGAGCACCAGGAGAGTGACGGAGGCTCCTGAGGACTGACGTCAGCACTTAGTGACAGCAGGATGTGTGCGAGTCACAGGAAAGAGACTGTCAGAAGTGGCACCGGGCTGGACTGTACCCCCCCCCCCCCGGCAGAGGAAATTGGAAAGAGGTAGCCGAGTAGATGTGCCCTGGGGATTCTTTCAGTATTTGTTGAGTACCTACCACGTTCAGAGTATCTTGGTGTAGGCAAATCATAGCTCCTGACTCCAAGGAGCTTATGCGAGAATAAATCCGTGGACAAAGAAGAAGAAAGGGCGAGTTTTGAGACTGAAGGGATAACCCGATGGGGGGAGAGGGAAGGCGCGTTGGAGAAATGGTAGCACCAGTACCATCAAGTCAGAGGCTGACGGGCAACAGAGAGCTCTGGGACGACAGGCCAGGGGCCGTGTGCGTGTGCTGTTGTCTCTGCTGTGTCCCAGCAGCGCTTACCGGGGTCTCCTGTGGCTGCTTGCTAAATGCAGAGGTAGATGAATGCAGAAATGGGGTCAGAAGGTCTAGGGAAAGGAGGACGAGGCTGTGACCTTTGGGTTTGGCCCACTTAGAGCTAGTTCAGTGGAGTGTCGAGGGAGGAGGATTGGGGTGACAGTCGAGAGGGAGGGAGTGGCAGCAGATACAGACCACCCCTTTGATGAGTACAGGCAGGACTTGTGGGAGAACGTGGACGTGGGTGCCGGTAGAGTCAGGTAAAGCCCTTCCCCAGAGGTCACTCGGGAGCCCAGGATTTCCTTTGAGGGACATGCCTGGAGTTGTCCTAATAGATGGCCAGAGGTTTTAATGAGGACTTGGAATGACATCCTTGTGCGGAGGGAGGAGGGGAATGAAGCCTGGGTTGCCATGTGCCTTCCGCAGGGAGCCTGGTTTAATGTTCTCACCAACCTTAGGAGGAGCTCATGTGAAGTGGCCTCATTTTATGGGCGGTGGGTGAATAGTGGCTCAGAGATGTCATGACTGGGAAGCATGAACAGGACCAGCCCAGGTCTCAGGGCCTGGGTCACCTGCCTCTGAGACAGGGCAGCAGCATTTAGCCAGAATTAGCTAATTAGCTCCTGGTACTGAGAGGTTTAGTAATTTGAGGTTTCATAACCAATAAGGGGATAACCAATAAAGCCTGGGATTGGAACCCAGCTCCCGATACCGTATCTGTTGCCATTTTCAGATCACCCCTGGGAGAACAGTGGCTGGCTGATTTATCCCAGTTTGACAGATGAGGAAACTGAGGCCGACTTCAAGGCAAGCGGCCCCTCCCAGGTCGTCCTGGACAGTGAAGAGGTCTGGCTAGAACCCATATCCCCCCACTGCTCGCCTTGGGCTCTTGATGGCAGAGGAGAAATGATGAGTCCGGACACCCAGGCCCAGGGAGGTTCGCCCAGGGTCACAGCCCCTGGAAGTGAACATGCCTCACTTAGAGTGAATGCTGAGGGCAGACGCATCCTAAGCGGTGTTTGAGGCTGAGGGCCTCTAGGTTTACAGGTTGTTGGCAGGGTCATTGTGGGGGGCGGGGAGGGCATTGGCATTTGCAGCTCCTTTGTTTTCTCTCCATACTTATCTCACTGGCTTTGTTTGCACTGGAAGGAGGGGCCCTGAATGGGCGGAGACCAGCTCTGGGGTGAGGGATACCGGGGCAGACAGACTTGTGGTTCTCAGGCTTCTAGAAGTCAAGGTTGAGCATGTGGGGCTCAGGAATGTACTTGGAAATGTTTCCCATTCATTTCTATTGCAATGCAATATCTAATGAATTTGGGGAAACACCCAGGAGCCGGCAACAAATAAATCACCTACTTCCATTTTCTGATGTTCCCTCTTAATCATGTTTACATAAGCCTTTTATATGATTGTAACTGTAACCCAGATTCAGGATGTATTTATAATCCTGTAGTGTGTCTTTTATTTATTTATTTTTTACTTAAAAAAATTTTTTACATCTATTTATTTTTGAGAGAGAGGGAGAGAGAGCGCGAGCAAGGGAGGGGCAGAGAGAGAGGGAGACACAGAATCCGAAGCAGGCTCCAAGCTCTGAGCTGTCTGCACAGAGCCCGACATGGGGCTCGAACCCACGAACCGTGAGATCGTAACCTGAGCTGAAGTTGGACGATTAACCAGCTGAACCACCCAGGTGCCCCTGTAGTCTGCCTTTTAAATTTACCATTATATTGTAAAACTTTCCATACTTCGTAATTATTTTAAACAGCTCTATGATTTTTCTTTGGGTGGATGAATCATGTTTTCCTTACCTATTCCTCTGCTTTGGGGGCATTTAGATGATTTCTCACTTTCCACTGTTATAGACAATGCGGTAGTAGTTTTTCTTTAAAAAAAAAAAAAAAATTCTTTCCCTAGGATAAATTCTCAGGTGTTTGGATTCCTGGATTAAAGAGACAAAAAACTTTTTCTCTCTTTTCTTTCTTTCTGTTTTTTTTTTTTCATTGGTTTTCAGCAACTGCAAGCAACATCCCTTAAAAGCTGCTTCCCTGTGTATTGTTCTTGGGACCAGCAAACTGGCAGTGGGGGCTGGGCACTGTCTAGGCTGTGGGATGGGAAGTCACTTCCTCCAGCCTGAACCCATGCAGCGAGGCTGTGGCCAGGAAATGGCCAAGGGCCAGGTCTCTCCCAGCTCTGGTTTGCCTGCTGCTGTGGAAGGGGTTTGGCCTGCCCCGCACCTGCCTCCCAGACACCCGGGGAAGCTCATTGCTGCCTGGGCGGTGCATTTAACACTCAGACACTTCTTCCTTGCTCACTCTGTTCCGTAACAGAGACCCCAGAGGAGGTGGTTGCCGTCATTTATCTTCCAAGATCTTTGGGTTGCCTTTGACAGTAAATCTCTTTTTTTCTCTCCACTTTTCCTAGAATTTGTTCCTGTCGAAGAGCGGCTCCTGGATCTCCAGACCCTTTGCAGTCTTAGGAGGCGAGTAGGTGAAATTCCCTACCTCTGAGGAGAAACACTGCCCGTTCCTTCATCAAGAGCAAGCTCCCCATTGCTATGGATACCGAATCCACATACTCTGGATATTCTTACTATTCAAGTCATTCGAAAAAATCTCACAGACAAGGGTATGTAAGCTCTGGGTTGTTCCACATTTCCTTCTGGGGACACTGGCAGGTGGGTCCAGATTTCAAGACTCACTTTTCAAATGGCAAAGCCAGGTTGCAGGGCTGCTGATGGCTGGAGGTTCAGCCCACGGTGCGTGAGAAGCTGCTGGACGTTAAGGGCATTTAACTCGCATTGGGAGTAACTATACCACCAATGTATATTTTACAGCTGCCATTACAGTTGACGACCTTAAGTGTTCACAACTGATTTTAAATTAAAGTTTCTCCCTGCAGTGGAAATGTTTTTCATTTCTAAGTGCTTCTCATAGATGACAGTTCTCCCAAAAGCTTTACTGAGAATATAAATTAAAGTTAAAAAAAAGTGTTAATTTGTTGCTTTTTACCCAAAGCTGCTGACTCATTGTCCACTAGGCATTTGCTGTGAGGTTAATGCACGAGGTGGTGGGATTGGCCTGGTGCCATATCTCTCTCTGACTAGTTTTCCCAGTGAACAGGCCCAGGTTATGAAAAAAACGCCATCCGAGGTGATGGGGCCCTGTTGCCTTCCTCTGTGCAAAGTGCACAGGTCTGCATTGGTGTTCCTAGAGCCTGCGGTATTCCAGACCTGCAGAATGTTTGGTGAGGAAAGGAACAAGGGAAGGTAGGAAGGAAGGGAGGGAGGGAGGGAGGGGTGCTACTGTAACTGGTTAAGAATACAGATGGTAAAGTTGTAGTGCTATATGCTGCCTCTTACTTAGACTCCTCACCTGTGAAATGGGTATAGCAGTACCCTACTTACAGGGCTAGTGAGAAGATTAAATTAGATTGTGCTTGTAAAGCGTTTAACACAGCACAAGGTGGGAGGTCACTATCCCGTGGCCGTATCAATGCTGTTAATGGCCTTGGCATGTCAGCATTACATTCAAAGGTTCCAACTGGCCACAGCCCAGAGGTCCAGCTGTGGTCACAGCCCAGTGTGGGCTGGGAACGGTAGTGGAGGTGGTGTTTCCCTGACCAAGCAGTTCCTCATACAAGCAGCTGAATGCAGAGTGGGATTTTGTTTTGTAAAACGGCAGTAAGATGTGTCTGTCTAATTGACTTACTCGTTTGTGAGCCCATTTGGATTTACACAGGCAGCGGGAGGTCTGGGAGGATATTCTCCAAGCTGCCCGCAGCGGTCACCCACAGGAAAGGGTCCAGACACGAGATGGTGACTGATGGCAGTTTTGTTTACGCTTTATCTTTCTGTACCCATTCAGTCTTCCCTAAGGGTGTGTTTCGTAATTAAGACTATGAACGGAATGAAAGAATATAAAACAAAAATCTCCAAAGATTGTTTAATGACCCGAGACAATGTTTATGAATCTGTGCTATAAAAAAACAGGAGTCAAAACTGTGCACGTTACAATAGTTACATATTCTTATGAGAAAATGAATGGTAACATTGACGATGCTTGTCCTGTTTCTGAGTATAGGGTTATTAAGATTTTGATTGTTGTTGTTCTTGAAACCTCCATTATTTTCTAAATGTTCATGTGTTGGTCTTTTAATCCTAAAAATGCGGGGCAGGGATGTGAATGAGCTTGCCCAGACCCTGGGTAAACCTTTCTGACAGCATATGGAACAGAAGCCTGCTGAGTGAGGCTTCAAGTACCATAGATGAGCCCAGATCCCGAGAAAGTCAGAAACACGCTGGTGATCAGAGATTCATCACAAGTTTCAACCGCTGGGTACATGTACCAGACGAGTTCTAAAACACCAGAAACAGCTGTTTGGAAACATCAGATCTTTGGCTCTAACTGGAGAAAGCCATTCCCTTGTCAGTGTGCCAAGCTTCCCTTTTCCACATGGTGGTGACAGAAGTAGGAATTTGGGGTTCTGTTGGTGCTTGGAGATGAATCGGGGAAGACGTGTTCTGAGTAGGAACCATCTCTGGCCTCCTCTGCCTGTATGTTTGTCCCAACTGTCACACTTCAAGGCCCCAGGCTGTGCTCTGCTGTTTCCTCCGGCCTCTCAGGGGCCCCCCACAAATTGATACAGCAGTGCTCTCGTGGTGACTTTAAGAGACAATAACTTCCAATTAAAACAGCCTGCGGAATTCTTAGTGCCTTTTCGGACCCATGCGGAAAGTCCTTGGCAAATGATAGCACAAGCTGAGACTTTCAATAAAGCAATCAAGGAATGTTCCTGAATACCTATTTAGAAAAGCTCTGGGTGAAGGGATGGGGAAAAACAGCACCCACATGCGGTGAGTTCTCTGAGAGCCCTGGAGGGTGTAGTAATTGACGATGGGACCGAGCCTGTAGTCTGTGGATGGTGGATGCCAGGGAGTTCTTTGGGCGTAAAGAATATTAAGTGGTAATAATACCCCTCACTGGCGCATAAGCAGGCCCTAGACCCAGCCAAGGGTATTGTGTCCCCCAGGAGTGTCCCCGTGAAGGCTGCTCTGCTCAGGGATTTGTCAGAAATTTGAATGAAAAGTAGGAAAGGGGAGGGACCTTGGTTTTTGGTAATTTTAGTAGGCCCCTAACTCAGGAATAATGAAGTGTACCAAACTTGATATGCCCAGTGACTCGGCGATCATCTTTGGGGGACTGGCTGGGTTCCAAACAGATGACAAGTGACTCCTTTTTAACAAAGAGGTCAGTGGTCTGGTTTTGTGATGTCTGCTGTCTCCAGAGGGTGTCCAGTTAACTTGCTGGGAAAATGGTGCGGACTTCAGCCGACCTTGCCTTACCTTTTGCGCGTTCCTGGAGTTACATGCTACAGCTATAACAGTGATGCTAATGAACCCTTGGCAGGTACCTGCTAGGACCCTCAGGCTAGGACCCTCGTGTGCTGAAATGCATTGTTCAAAAGAGGGCTGCCTGAGCGGTGAGGGAACTGGTGCTTTTGTTCCCAGGCCGCCCCAGAGTCGGTTTGCCAGGTGCCCAGCCCTCCCACCCGACTCCATGCCGACCGGAAGCGGCCAGCCAGCCCCACAGTCAGCAGAGAAAGGACAGGTAGTGGGTGGTGGTAGAGAAGGAAAGGGAGGAGTGACTGGTGGGGCCGGCTTTCCCCAAATAGAAATAGACCAACAACAGACACAGAGCTGAATAGTCTTCCCAGGAAATGCCGACTGTGGTGGGAACGGAACAGGAGTCGATGGGGGTTCTGGCTAGAGCAAGGGCATTTTACAGCAGCCCCCAAGGGCTTAGCTCTAGAGCCGCCTGGGTAGATGCGTTTGCACACACATACACACACGCAGGTACAGACACGTGCTGGGGCCTCCTGCGTGCCGTCGCTGGCTTCTCCACCCTCTCACCCGCACGCACACGGGACAGTTACACTGATCTGGACTCTGATGGGCAGATGCTGCATAGAGACCGACTCACAGGTGAAGACACCGGTTCCTGTGGCTGACACAGCTGCCCGGCACACCGGTGATCCACGCCACTGAGGCGGAGCCGGAGACCCTCCCTGGCGTGCATGCCTTTGTCACAGCCCTCTTGTGGCGTGGTGGCCTTACCCAGCCCCCTGCTTCAGTCTCCTGTTTCCACTCTTAGATCCCGCCAACAGCGGAGAGCCCTCTCCTGGAGTGCACTCGACACGACATTTGGAGCCGTAGAGATGGACATGTGAGCACCCACTGTAGTGAGGCGGCCATCCTGCGGCTCGAAGCTCTGCACCCTGGACAGCACCGAACGGCAGTTAATTTCGTTGGACTTCTCCATTTAGGACTGGCTCCGACACCTTCCCGGAGCGGTAACTCACCACCGGTGATTTTTGTAAAAGCCGTGTGACCACAGGCACCGGCCCAGTGTTGACCAACCCCACTGCTGATGCTGTGTCCTGACGCAACGCACGCTGGCCTGAGCCTCGTCCCCAGTCTCATCCGCTTCACGCTGTTTTAATGAAGAAGCCACGCTACGCCGCAACATCGCGCAGCCAGGCGTTACACTCACGTTTCCCATTATTGAGCCCCTGTTGTATGCAGGCATGTCACAAACAGCCAGGCTGCCAGGCAGTCACCCCCAACAACCCTCCTCCTCAGAGCATTTGGGGGGAAGCACCTTGGGGCAGGTTTCCCTGGACCCCCCGCATCTTAATCACCGGGGGTGCAGGTGACAAACGCAGATTCCCATTGTCTGCCTACCGGAATTCCCTAGGGGTGGGGCCAGCGAATGTACCTAAATCCCATCCTGGTGCAGGTGTGGGAAGCACTGGTTTAGGGTAGCTGGCTCTAGGGGATGAGAAACCTTCCCAGGGTTATCAGACAGTAGGCTCCTGTCTGGTTCACCTCAGATGTCGCCCGGGGAATGGTTAGGCTGCCACTTCTCCTTCGGGTGCTGCGGGGCCCTTTAAGAGCCGCGGGGGTGGAGGTGGTCAGGTTGATGGCTGGCCCTAGAGAGGCTGTTTCCATCCCTGGGTGCCTCCCCACTTGCTCTCTGCCTTGGCAACGTTCAGGCTCAGCACTTGGCACTCAGTGAAAGAATTTTGATTTCCCGTGGAATTTGTGCTGTCACGGGATTTGACCCCTGGGACTAGTGAATAGATAGATGGGGTGGGGGAGCATGTGACTTGGCTGACGGCAGAAAGAGTGATGGAAAGCGGTTGGGGATGGTGGAAACACAGGATGGAAGGGGAGGCTCCTGGGTCTGGCCGATGGAGGCCCTGGGGAGCGGGGGTTCTAGGCTTCGTCCACACTCTTCATCCTGAAGACTGCGCAGGCGCGTGGGAAGGCTCTCCCAACTTGTTTTTTGTTTCGCACACCACTGGGTCCTTTTGAAGTGAGTGTCTTCGGCAGCCCAGAGTGTGGGACCCATCGCTTCATGCTGTCCAAGTTCACAGTGCCTTTGTGGCCACCAGAAGTAGCTCCACAGGCAGATTTCGTGGCTCCGGTAGTTCATCCAACAGAGGGTGTCAGGATGAGCATTAGGAATGTTCGTGCCACCAGATCTGCAGATCAGCGCGGCGTAGCGGGTGTGAGACGCGGTGGTGGGAGCAGACCTGGGTTCACATCCTGCTCTGCCGCTCACTACGACTTTGGGAAGTCAGTTAACCTCCATGACCCTCAGTTTCCTCATCTGTAAAACAGGGACAAGGCCACCAGCCTCAGACAGTCACTGTTAGGATTGAATGAAGTTAATGAATTGAAGCACACCGAGAGGTGCTCTCTAACTCGGAGTGGGAGTGGAATGATTGGCACTGATGGATGCATCTCTAGGTAAACAGACAGATTCTCTGCTGTTGTCCTCGTTACCTGGTTAAAATAAAACACCCAAGTTGACCAGAGCACGTGTATTTCTAGACTCTAACTTAGCAATAGATTGGGATGATATGTTATGCTCTAGCAGTTGGAGATGCTGTCACTGAGAACTTCTGGGACCAAGAAAGCCTCCCTGCTCTTTGAAGGAAATAACCAATGATTATCCTAGGGAGGTACTGATAAGGTAGGAGTTTGCCCCCAGGAAGTCTGCATGTGATTTTGTTTGGTAAATGGTAGGTTAACAGGACACTGTGGAGAAGGAGTTGGATTGTGTATTAATAGCTCCTTTTATATCTCCTTCTTTAAGGCCCCTGTAACTGAAATCTGCATATGTTATCTGTGGGGTATGATCATTATTCCCATGTCAACAGATAAGGAAACTGAGGTTTTCAGAAGTTACATAATTTGTGCAAATCGAATAGGGGCAGACCTGAGATCTGACTGATGTCCCCAGAGTCTATGTGTGCAGTGCTCTGTCCTGTCTGGGGGGCCTTGGGAATGAGGGCAAGTGTTTGAGGGAGGACTGATGTCAAGGAGGCCGTATAAGACCGGAGGTTGAGGGAGCTCACTCTTGGCCACCGAGGGGCTCCTTTGGGGGGGGGCTCCTGAACTGAGTGTTCACAGACGGGGGTGGGAGTCCCAGTTTCCGTAGGTGGTTAATGGCTAGGTTGTGACCACACTCAGCTTCACACAGTAGTTGATCCCTGTTGTAATTTCAACATTGACCCGAGGCAGGGTGCTCTCATGGTTGCCCTGGAAGACCACCCAGGAAGTGCATCTGGGGTAAAATGAGGCAGCAGCCTGTTTTCCGTAGGAAGCCTGAACATACACACACATAGACAGTTGCACCCCTTGGTGTCATTTGTACTAGATTTTTGTGTCCTTCTGGGTCCTTTGGACTCAGCCAGAGCCTACGGGAATGACTTTCAGTTTGAATTTCTAGGAATGAGAAGTAAATGCTTCTCTGTGCTGGTTTAGAATTTCCTTTCTTCTTGTGTTATGCAAAGGTGTAGGGTGACAGTGTGTCCCAGATTTTTTTGGACAGACCAAAGTGCAAACATTTTGCAGTGTTGCCTCCACAAGAAAGTCCTAGAAAATGAATTTAGGCAGCTTGTAAGCAAATCAAGTCAGCTACAGAAATTCTAAAATTCACAGTGTGAGGCTTCGAAAAGGTGTATTTTCAATTCCACTGTTGAGGGTGGAGTGAGTCTCTGTTTTGGGTCTTCGGATGGCAGGAGGAAAATACTAAGTTGGGAGTAAAAATGAGCTTATTCCTTGTAGGCGGGTGGCGTGGGTGGGTATTGGCTGCGTGCGTGTGTGTATGTGTATGTGTAGAATTTTTCTAAGCTCAAAATCAAATCTGCAATGTATTTTGATGAGAAGTGATTCACGTGGTATAAACGTGCTAGCTGATGATCAGTCATTTTTGTTTTTTTCAGGGAGAGAAATAGAGAGAGACACAAATCACCCCGGAATAAAGATGGCAGAGGGTCAGAAAAATCTGTCACCATTCAAGCTCCCACTGGGGAGCCCCTGTTGGCAAACGATTCCACTCGGACAGAGGAAGTTCAGGTAAGGATCAAAGGCAGTCTGTAAGCACACTGCCACTGGATCAAGACTCTTTTCAGTAAATGTTTTTCTAAGTCTTGTTGCAGTAGGTTCTCTTGGGTTTTTATCTTTATTTTTCTAGCATGATAATTAGTTTATCTATGTCTCGTGGTTTCTTGTTGGTCTAAGGACAGCCTGTCCTGCCATTGGCTGCCTTGGGGATTGTTCTGAAATGCGATTGGTTGGCCTGCTTTGACTATGGTGTTGAAAAGAAGCCAGCCGGGCTGATGACAGGGCAGAGAAAGGGAAAGTTACAGGCTGTCGTCTCCAGAGACTCGTTCCAAAGTGGAACAGTACGGGAGGGAAGGAAATGTCCTCTCTAGCAGCCCTGAGTGGCATGGAGAAGAAGAGGTTCAGAGAGCCCAGACTGACCGCTAAGAGATATATGAAATAAATCGGGGGCTGGACACTTAGATGCCCGGTAGGAAAACCTGGAAGAATGAAATAGGCCCTCAGTCACAGAGAAGGGACACACACATATCAGGCAGGCTGGGGGCTGAGCAGCAAACTGTGGGGCACCTCAGCGTCTGGACAGAGGCGTAGAGCATTGGGGTCTGTGGCAAACTAGAGAATGCATTTCCTCTGTCAAAGGAGCAGCAGCTCCCCAGCTCTGGACACGTCTTACTGCTCAGGGGTGCAGGAATTCTGTGTTTCTGGGTGTACTGGTACTTAAGAAGAGCTAGAAATCAGATTTTATGTGAAGTCACCCAGTTTTAAAATATTGGCAGTGTATTAAAAGACACCGTGTGGGTTCTTGTCTCTGGGTCCTGACTATCTGGCAGCCCTCCTGATTTAAATAAACATCTGAGCTGTACTGAGAAACACGCTTGCATACCTTCCACAGCTCTTGAAATACATGCACGTACAGCCTTGGCCCTGAATAGACCGATGTATGCTCACACCTGCAGCTGCACACATACGTGCATCTTTAAGCAGACAGAGGCGCTGAAATTGGGATTCCTCAGAGCACACGAGGTGCTCTCAGAACCCAACGCTCAGCTGTGGGATGAAGGTGGAGTTTGGCCAGTGATGAGTAAATGCCGTCAGTAGGAACGTTGCACTGTCTGCCACGGCTCTGGGAGGGCCAGAGGGGTGGCCTTGACTGGCTGACCCTGAGATTGGACGCCCTTGAAGTGCTGCAGGGCGGCAGTTTCCTTCCGCATGTGGATTCCGCAGTGCTGGCGGCCCACTGGGAGGACATTTCTTCTTTGCCGCTTCTCTACACCTTGGAGCTCGCCGGGGAGCTGTTCGTGTTTACGCTAAGTTGATGTGATGGGAAAGGCCCTGACGTGGGTTTTTGGAGGCGGTACTTCTCAGCAGCTCTGTGACCAAGGGCAGTCATGACCTTTGTGGGCCTCAGGCTCTTTAGATATCAGATTTAGAGGATCTTAGATCCTTTCTGTTCTAAGAACCCCAAGCTTCGGAGGACGCTTCGGACAACTACGCTCTTTAGGCACAAGGTGTACATCCATTCAGGGGATTTAGTTAGAAACGCTGGCTAAACCATAGCAGTGTGGTGGTCAACGAAATGACCACGAGACACTAGGAATAATTACTTCCACACTGATTATCAACTGAATATTAGGCCCAGTACACAACATGGAATCCAGTATTTACGTTTCACTCTTTCTAGGTGTTATAAAGTAAGTTATTTTGTGTAGGCTGTGAACTCACCTTATGTTACAAGTTGTTGATTTTTTTTTTTTAATGTTTGTTTATTTTTGAGAGAGAGAGAGAGAGACAGAGTGCGAGCAGGGGAGGGGCACAGAGAGAGGGAGACACAGAATCCAAAGCAGGCTCCAGGCCCTGAGCTGTCAGCGCAGAGCCCAAGGTGGGACTCGAACTCACGAACCCGCGAGATCATGACCTGAGCCAAAATCGGATGCTTAACCGAATGAGCTACCCAGGCTCCCCACAAGTTGTTGATTTTTGACGTTGTGGCTATTTTTTCCTCTATATCGGTGATTTTTTTTTTCATTGAAGGGAATTTACCCACAGAAATGAACAGATTTCAAGTGTAGGGTTTGAGAATTTCAAACAGCTGAATAAACCCAGAGAACTTATACTCTCGATACATACGTTTTTATTCCTCTACAAAGTTCTCATGTTCTCCCCAGTCAATTCCTGTCCCCACCCCCACCTCTCCAAGACAGACCCAATTTTGATTTCTACCGCCATAGATTAGTTTTGCCTGCTTTAGAATTTAATGTAATTGGGATCGTACTCTTTTGTTTGAGACGTTTTTTAGTCAGCGTAATGATTTTGAGATTTACCAAGTTCTGGTGTGTTTTAGCAATTCATCCTTTTTTATTTTCGTTGAGTAGTATTCTGTCGTCTGAATATACTACAGTTTGTTACCCATCCTTCTGGTGATAGATAGACATTTGAGGTGTGCCATTTGGGGCTACTGTGAATAAAGCTGTTAAGAACGTTCTGGCACGGGTCTTCTTGCGGATGTGTATTTTCATTGATTTTGGATAAAACCGTGGGAGTGGCATTGTTGGATCATACAGTTCAGCATATAGTGAAATTTGTATGACACTACCAGACCCGTTTTCAAGAGTGCTTGGACCATTCGGTACTTCCCTCAGACATGTGTGAGAGAGTCTTGGTGGCTTTTGGCGTTGTCCTAGAGAGTTTGTGGTATGGGATACTTGTAACCTTCCAAGTCGAAGACCTGTTTGTTCATCGGTCAAGACCATTGCCACCGCCCACCAGTCCTTGTCATAGCCTATCTGTTCATAGATCGTGATTCTGATCATTTCTAGATCTAAGGTTCTTGTTCAGTTATGAGATCCCAATTCTTGCTGATTCAGCTGTCAACTTAAACTAGATTTTTCAAAGTTGGTGTCTTACGCATGAATTTCACCCAGCTTGTCCCTACATCAGACTCTTTTCTCCAAGTTAAATCATGTACACAAATCTCTGAGGCAAAAAACCTCTTTGGAACCCCTGTGGCTTTTCATTGCCTTTGTAGTGAAGTCAGGTTTGCTTGCCAGCGAAATAGCAGAATTGTTTGAAAATCTTAACAAGTGGATCTTGGTAAAGGAAGAGACTGCTTGCTCCAAATGGAAGCTACCTCAGACTTTAAAAAGAGAGAGGAAAGCACAAAAGTCAGAGACACTGCAATAGTCTGGTAGTTCTGTAGCAGTCTGTATTCCGTGTGTCAGTGAGAATGTGTGTTTAGGGAGGAAGTTTTTTGTGTTGTTTTTTTTTTAATTTTTTTTTCAATGTTTATTTATTTTTGAGTGACAGAGACAGAGTGTGAGCAGGGGAGGGGCAGAGAGAGAAGGAGACGCAGAATCTGAAGCAGGCTCCAGGCTCTGAGCTGTCAGCACAGAGCCCGATGTGGGGCTTGAACTCACGAACCATGAGATCATGACCTGAGCCGAAGTCGGATACTTAACCGACTGAGCCACCCAGGCGTAGGGAGGAAGTTGTGAGTTGTCCTGGCCATCCGTACTTGAATTTGCTTAGGTTGCTCGCTGAGAAACATTGTCATGGAGTGCTTGACACTGATACTTCTTGAAGAAAAAAAAAAAATAGTTACAGGTTAGCTGTGATTTGTACATAGCAGTGAAGGTCGCTGGCTCTTTAGAGCTGCTGGGGGGTATTATAATACCTCACTTCCGGAAGTTGGACTTTGTCGGCCTTCGTAACCCAGCCATGAACTGAGGCGAGAACACAGAGTTTTCTTATGTTACGGGTGAGCCCTCACATGTCAGTCTCACGGCGGGATTGCTTATTGGGCCAAAAAAGCCTCTCCGGAGATTCCAGCACGGGGGATGATAATCAACATGATAAGAATGAATCCCCCAACAAACACACCAAAAGGGTAGACTGCGTTTTCTCTGTTTGGAAAGGTCAGTATATGACCCCCTTGGAAAAATGCCAGTGAAAACCGTTCAGGTCAAAACTTCCTGTATTTGAAGACTTAAGCCTCCGTTTTCTGGGATGCCCGTGGGCGTGGGCTGGTTCAGAGAGGAGGGCCCTCCGTGGGCGCCGCGTGTCCAAATGCTTGCTGCGTGGCTTTTACCAGTGACCTGCCGCCTGTGGCTCTTCACGCTCCCTGTTTGTGTTCCCTGTCAGGATGACAACTGGGGAGAGACCACCACGGCCATCACAGGCACCTCAGAGCACAGCATATCACAGGAGGACATTGCCAGGATCAGCAAGGATATGGAAGACAGCGTGAGGCTGGATTGCAGGCGCTACCTGGGCCTCACCGTGGCCTCGGTCCTTGGACTGCTGGTGTTCCTCACCCCCATTGCCTTCATCCTGTTACCCCCCATCCTGTGGAGGGACGAGCTGGAGCCTTGTGGCACAATTTGTGAGGGACTCTTCATTTCCGTGGCGTTCAAACTCCTCATCCTGCTCATCGGGACCTGGGCGCTCTTCTTCCGCAAGCAGAGAGCTGACGTGCCGCGCGTCTTCGTGTTCCGTGCCCTTCTGTTGGTCCTCATCTTTTTTTTTGTGGTTTCCTATTGGCTGTTTTATGGGGTCCGCATTTTGGACTCTCGGGACCGCAACTACCAGGGTATCGTGCAGTACGCGGTGTCCCTCGTGGACGCCCTCCTCTTCATCCACTACCTGGCCATCGTCCTGCTGGAGCTGAGGCAGCTGCAGCCCATGTTCACGCTGCAGGTGGTCCGCTCCACCGACGGCGAGTCCCGGTTCTACAGCCTGGGACACCTGAGGTAAGGGCTGCTGACTGACATCTTTCTAGGAGGCCGCACGTGAGGGGTGAGGACAGGTGCCAGGACCAGAGTCTGACTCCTTCCCTGAGGTTCTGGGAAGACGTGTGTGTGTGTGCGTGCGTGTGTGTGTGTGTGTGTGTGTGTGTGTGTGGTGGGGGGGTGTCCCTGTCCGTGGACTTTCCTGACTGTGGGGTGGGGTGACACAAATGCTGCCTGTCATCCAGGCTGGAGTTTTGTTGGGCGAGCTCTCAAACATGGCAGCTCCCAACAGAGCTGGAGGAAGGATGCCTAGTGATGGCTGCTGGCCTTGCCTCTGAAATTGGCCTGTGGGCAGCGGACAGAGTGGCCAGCACCTCCAGGCTGCTCAGAATCGCTCATTGTTCCTTTATTTTCCACCCCCAGAGGCGTCCTGGTCTAGGCACTAAATTATACGGCCACCCTAGTGACCCTCCAGTAACGAATCAGGTGCAGGTTGGAGACCCTGAACTTGTGAGTTGAGTGTTTTGAAAATGTACGTATGTGGGACAAAGTTAGAAATACATTGAGATGTCATACTTTAAATCTGCATATATAATCTACTTGGTGGTCAACTAAAAAAGCGATGGTCGTATTTTATCTCATTTATTTTTATTTATCCCAAGGTAAGTGCTTCGTGTAGATTGTTACGTTTAGCCCTCACAGAACCCTTTGCTATAGGTACTCTTCATCCCAGTTTTTTTTTTTTTAATTTTTTTTTTTAACATTTATTTATTTTTGAGACAGAGAGAGACAGAACATGAATGGGGGAGGGTCAGAGAGAGGGAGACACAGAATCTGAAACAGGCTCCGGGCTCCGAGCTGTCAGCACAGAGCCCGACGCGGGGCTCGAACTCACGGACCGCGAGATCATGACCTGAGCCGAAGTCGGCCGCTTAACCAACTGAGCCACCCAGGCGCCCCTCTTCATCCCAGTATTACAGATGAGGGGGATTAGGACACTTAAACAATGTGTGGAAACTAGTAACGGCTGGCCTTCGTTCGCAGTCACCTAGTTGTCATGAAGCTGGGCCTAGGTTAATGCCCTCATCATGGTATGTCTCACTTTGTGTGTACGGGACTATTTGTCTGTTTTCTCCCACCAACTGAGGAAGGGGCTGAGGACAGGGGCCGTGTCTCCTTCTCATCGCACCCCCAGTGTCCGGCCCCGGAGCGTGGCATACAGCTGGCCCTCACAGGGCTCCCGGTGAACGGATAGCCTGGGATGACCGACTTGGCCGTCTCGTCGGGCTCTCCTGCCTCCTCGGGCGATATATGTTGAGGTGTGTAACCTGCCTGGCACCTGGTGAGCCCTTAGTTAATTGTGGCCATTACGGCCTCTGATCGTGCGGCTGGCAAAGCGGCCAGTATCGGCAGGCGCACCTTAGTGGATCTCAGAACAATGGGCTTTGTCATAGTTCTGGCTGGGACACAGGAAGGTGGCCCAGCCCTGGTTTGCAGCTGGGCCAAACCGGCTCAGTGTTGGCACACACCCTCTTTCGTTCCTCTGGCTTCACCTGGGCCACCCCAGGCCTGGGGTGGGGGGTGGGGGGTGGTTAGCATTGGAAGCTGCTGCCATCCTGACCGGTCCTTGGAGGGAATTGGTGTCTGAGTCACGCGCCCTGCACGGCAGAATCCTGTGTTTCGAGTCCTTCGCAGATGCCCGTGGGGCTCTGAAGGCAAGTAAGCCGCTGCTGCTTGTTCATCTCTGCTTTCTTTCCCCCTGTTTTGCGGTGGAGAATGACCAGCAGACTTGCATTAGACACCTGTCAGGTGCGCAGCCCGGCACTGGGGCTCCTGATGCGCGATGGCTACCTTCAGGGCTCTGTTGCCATGCTCCTGGGGCCCACGGACCCTTCCCGGTTGTTCTCACCATGACCGACAGCTGCCCAGCCTCTCCCTGCCAACCCTGAAGCCACTAACCCCAGCCCCTAGGGAAACCCCAGGGTAGCACCTTGCCAGCAGCCGCGGGGGGGGGGGGGGCGGGGAGCGTGCTGAGGGAGGGGGTGCCCTGGTCTTCCTGGTGGCTTCTCTCCGGGCCCTTTGTTTTCCTCCTCTTCCTACCTTCAGTAAGGCCCTCTTTGTCCTCAGGTGGAGACCCTGCTTCTGGGGTGGAAAGGTGGCTAGGGAAGGTGAGACGCCTTTTCTACACGAATGCCTGGCCGCCCCCATGACAGCTGGTCTGTGCGAGCTGGAGCGGGCTTGGCACCTCTCCTGCTGGCACCATGTGGGCTCAGTCACCCGCCGACTCTTGGGCTAAATCTGGTCTGCGCCCAGCGGTGGCCGGAAGAGTCACGGGGCCAGAAATAGAACTTCTAAACCCTTTCGTAAAGTGTGGAAACGGGAGGGGTGGGGGAACCAGAGAGACAAAGAGCGAGGCCGGGAATCAGATCAGCTGATGTGCGCGGCCCTTCTCCCTTCCCTTTATGTAAAGCCTTCCCCGTGGCAATGACCTGATGGGCTTAGGTGCAGGGCCGCGGTGAGTCCTTAGTCCTTGTTTTGGTCCTCAAAGATGATTTTCTTGAATCGACTGAGCTATTTTTGACAGTTGTCAAAAGAATGCCTGTTCTTTCGTTTCTCGAAGCAAATATGCTCCTCGTTAGCTCTCACAAAAGGTACAGTGGCCCTGTTTGTTGGCAAGAACGGAGTTATGGGCTTATTTGAAAACTTCCAGAAAAATAAAAGATTATTGTGGTACAAAGTGAGACGTTGTCAGTAGACTAAGATATTACTGACGTTTGTCCAGTGCCTTGGGGATGACGGGGCTTTTTAGATGTCTGCTGTCCTTTCCCTCTCTTGCCCTGCCAGGGTGGGGCAGGTGGTATGGGGCTGCCGCCCTTTGCAGAGAACCCAGGGTGCCTAGGTGGCTCAGTCGGTCTGACTCAGGTCACGATCTCATGGTTCGTGAGTTCGAGCCCCACATCAGGCTCTGTGCTGACAGCTCAGAGCCTGGAGCCTGCCTCACGTGTGTGTGTGTGTGTGTGTGTGTGTGTGTGTGTGTGTGTGTCTGTCTCTCTCTCTCTCTGCCCCTCCCCTGCTTGTGTGCTCGCTTGTGCTCGCTCTCTCTCTCTCTCTCTCTCAAAAATGAATAAACATTAAAAAAAATTAGAGGGGAGCCCAAGCTGCAGGATCAGGGACCTGTGTGCCCTCCTGGGGGTCCCACCCCTCCCCTGCAGCACCCTGGGTCTCAGCACATCTGCTTTGTAATTGTGCATGCACACCTCCCTGGTCACCTCCTTGACCCCATTCTCACAAGGAGCTGCTGACTTTTCCAGGATGTCACCAAATATTGGTAAGTTTTGATCTGACCACATTTGGGGAGAAATCCAGAAGAGAGACAAATGGCATTTGATTATCATAATTAATATATTTCTCAGTTTTGAGCTCTTTAAAGCCAAATACTGTGGATGTTGGAGCGTAGAAGCCAGTCGAATTGACTGAATCTGAGATGTAGGAGAGCAGTTTACAGTGAAACCCTAAGGTAACAATCACCTGGTCCTTACCATGTGCCGAGCTCCTTCTGCGCGCCTAACAGAACTCATTTAATCTGAACAGTCCTGGGGGAGGCACCATCATCCTCATCTTCAGAGGAAGGAACTGAGGCACAGAAGAGTTAAGCTGGTTGTCTGCTTGTGATTGTGGGAGCCAGAGTTTGAGACCAGGCTGTCTGGTTCCAGAATGTTCTTAACCTTTGGATAGATGCGTCCATGTTCGCATCACTGCTTTAAGAACACGTGAACGAACTCATCAGCAATTTGGAGTTGCTCACCGTGGGCCAGGCTGGGTGCTGGCGATTTTTTAAAAATACGTGATTCGGGGCGCCTGGGTGGCGCAGTCGGTTAAGCGTCCGACTTCAGCCAGGTCACGATCTCGCGGTCCGGGAGTTCGAGCCCCGCGTCGGGCTCTGGGCTGATGGCTCAGAGCCTGGAGCCTGTTTCCGATTCTGTGTCTCCCTCTCTCTCTGCCCCTCCCCCGTTCATGCTCTGTCTCTCTCTGTCCCAAAAATAAATAAACGTTGAAAAAAAAAAATAAATAAAATAAAATAAAAATAAAAATACGTGATTCTACTGAACTCTCAGCTGCAGGGCTAGAAAGGAGAGAATGCAGAGAGGATTGCCAGAGATGTCCGGCTTGCGCTCTGCAGCCATTCCGTAGCCCATTGGTTCTTTTTGTTCAGTCAGTCAGCACGCAAAACCTGGACCTTGAAACCATAGCGGTAGGCAGCCGACTCCCCCAGCCACCTCGGGCTCCCATTCTCAGAGTCTGCTTGTTCTTACTTTGCATATAGTTCTAACGTTTACTTACCGACTTCTGTACCTCAAACAAGTCCACAAGTAACACATTTCAAAGGAGAGCTGCTATAGGGAGGCATGTGAACATCAAGGAAAAGTGGTAGCCGGGAGTCATCAGCAGAGAGACTGGAACCACAAAAGCAGGTAGAACTCTTGCCTGTTGACAGTGACCCGTGTTCTGTGAGATATTCATCTGGCTGAAGCTCCGTTGTGCCTAATTCAGCGAGCAGGCTTTGACTGTGTGGGTTTCTAGGCATGCTTCATTCACTGACGTGGAGAGTATCTTATAAATTGGTGCCGACCCTGCACCTTTTTATCAAGGGTCTGGTTACTGACCATAGAATCACCTGTGCTTTAGAAAAAAGGATTCACGGATTGCTTTTCAAACAATGCAGGTTTATGGTCATGCATGATCGTAGCATTGCTGTGTTGAAAGGGGCGGTCGTGTCCCACCCCCAAAATTCATAGGTGGAAATGAGAAACATGTCACTGGAGAGTGGCGAAGAGACCATTTTTGTTTTAAAGTGGCAAGGAACTTGGCTGAACTGTGTTCATGTTCTGGTGTTCTGTGGCAGGGAGAACTTGTGAATGATGGAATTGGATTTCTGGCTGAGGAATTTTTTTAATAGTTTTTTTTTTTTAATGTTTATTTACTTAGCATGCATGCCAGCGTGTAAGCAGGGGAGGGCAGAG